ATCCTGCTCGTCCCAAACAGGGGTTCGAGCCTGCAACCCGAGTATGTGCCCTTACTGGAAATCAAACTGTGACCTCCTGGCTCATAGGTTGACAATCAACCACTGAGCCATGCCAGCCAGACCAAAACAAGTTCTTAAAAAAAAAAAAAAGAGTTTTATCACAAAATAACACAATTTGCTTATCAGATGGCAGAGGTCAAAAAGTTTAATAACACACTGTCTTGGTTAGGGTTTGATAGATATTTCAGGTGAAAATATATTATTTAATAATTATATAGAACAATAAATCTAATGAACCCTTATCACCTATTTTTAAAAATTATCCCATGGCCCGGCTGGCATGGCTCAATGGTTGAACGTCAACCTATGAACCAGGAGATCACGGTTCAATTCCCAGTCAGGGCACATGCCTGGTTTGCTGGCTCAATCCCCATGGGGGTTGTGCAGGAGGCAACCGATCAATGATTCTCTCTCATCATTGATGTTTCTACCTCTCTCTCCCTCTTCCTTCCTCTTTGAAATCAACAAAACATATATATATATTTTTTTTTTAAATTATCCACATGGTGCTGGTTACTTTGAAGGCATCTGGTTGTACCATTTAGTGATGTAAGATGGATCACTGGATTCAGCTGGAGTCCGCCGATTCAGCCAAAATACTTCCATCTAATGAATTTAGTATCCACTGATGACCTTTGCTAAATTCCATTATTTTATAAGAGCTTATAAAATATGACTTTTCTATTTCTATATTCCTTTTGCACTTACTGGCCAAATTTTTGCTAAAAAGTAAGCTTTCATCAACCACTTGCTTACTCTTACTTAAATGCAATTCAGAGAAAAGTCGAGGTAAACCTGTGATCCTTTGGCTTCGTTTCCTAATTTTCATAATAACAAATTGATGCTCTATCAACCTCCAAACGTGATCAAGTTGCTTTCTTTGGTTTGTGGGGCACACAATTATGAAAAAGATTTTAAAAATACATGTTTCACTCTATTGTAGTTACTTTTTAAAGATTTTTTTCATTGATATTTGGAGAAAGAAATGAAACAGGAGGGAGAGAAGAAGAAACATTGATGTGAGAGCGAAAAATTGATCAGCTGCCTCTCATACTGCCCATACTGAAGATTGAGTGGTGGGAGCGGGGTTAGTTTTGAGGCTCAAAGTTACACAATTTGGTCAGTGGGAGTCGCCATGGTGTTGGCTTCTGTGTTCTTCCTGTACAACTTCCAGAGTCTTTGATATCTTCTTGCTTTTTTGTAAGAAACAATATTCCATACCTGGAATCATCCATCTCCCTAAGGAGCCCTTGTTCCTTTCAGTGGGGGCTGATACTTTAAAGACCACAATCTGGGTGCTATGAACATTTATTGCTATTGACTTGCCATTGTTTTCTAGACCTTTTCAGTGGACAAAACTGAGGGGAGGGGTGTAGTTTTTTTAAGAAAGAAAAATTTAAACCATGAGCCCATATTAATTTTCCCATTTTTAATCAAATATTACCACATTCTACTTAACTTCTTAAATTGTATCATTTTCTTATGCTGAAAACTATAGTTCCTAATAACACTGACATTGACTACTTGCTTTATCCTATATAATAAAGCAGCAATATGCAAATTGACCATCACACCCTCACAAGATGGCTGCTTATGACCAGGCCAGCAGAGTGGTTAGTGAGGGACAACCAAACAACTGAACAAGCAGGCTGCGTGGGGTGACTAGGCTGGCAGGGGGGTTAGTGAAGGACGGCCAAACAACTGAACAGCAGGCTGCGTGGGGCGA